TTTTCATTGATGCTTAGTCTTTCGGGTCAGTACACAACCACAATATTGAACATTATTAATCAATATTACCTGACTATTTAATGAGATCACAATCCATATATTTGTACCTCATTAAAGGTATTCTAATTAGTTTTCAATTATTTTAATTCCATACACTGTATAATTTAGGAAACAAGGAATAATAAACAAAAGAACATCGCGGAACTGCAAATCTGGTTCAAACACCGACACAGTTGTATATATAGGTGTAGGTGAACAGCAGTTAAGGAAAACTTAAACAGAGTAGTTCATAAAGAATTACTTGGCTATGTAAGGTTTAATCTTTGCTTGATTGAGCAAAAGAAAAAAGAACAAATTGCTGTATAATATTAAATCAAACTTGATTATCGAGAATGTGATTAAGCTAATTGTTGTAGCTGTGTGTGTGTGCAATATATTTGTCATTATGAATAATATTTAAATCATTAAATCTTCTGATTTGTTGTTATTGTGCTAAAAGCATTTTGATAATGATGTAATTTACTACTAGTAACTACTATTCTAAGTTTTGTTAGAGATATGTAGGCGGTTGTGACTTATTGGTCGCATTTATCATGGAAGTGTACTTCTTGAAAAACCTCAGAAAGAGGCTGCGTTAGTAGTGGTCTCGACAATCTAGGAGTGTGACCGTAGCTCATAGGGGATAATTGCTTAAGGCTGTTCACACACAACCTTTGTTTGCACGTTGTTCTAAATGTGTTACGGTGTGAGATGGCAAAATTACCTCAGATACTAGTTGTCTGAATGGAACGCCTTATTGCCACCATGATCCAGTACTGTCAGTCGTATGACCTCGCCCCGGATCCCAATTTTTTAGTCTTCTCATCTTATAACCATGTGTGGCATTATATCATCTAAAGAGATAAGTTTCCCAGCTAATATAACTTGACTGAGTTACCACATTATACAACCCTTAACCATCACTTCGAGACAGCAGCTATAGTTGGGAGTTAGGAGATTCGAATTATTACTAAACTATGGAAGTATAGATAGACATATTAATCTCAAATTTACTCGTTTTACCGTTTCATATATATACATTAAAATTGTAAAATTTGTGATTTGGTGGTTGTGATATTTAGCTTTTACCTGTTTAGTTATTTAGATTTAAACCATCCAGTTCTGCTTACTTCATTTTGTATATTTAGTTGATGAGATAGCTAAGTAGGTATCAACTATCAACTTATGCATGTGTACTGAGGTCGAATAACTTGACGTTTTGAAATGGATATTTAATATGAATTTTCAGTGATGAAATGAGTTATTTTTTCTTAAATATTCAACATAGTTTGTATTACCTGTGTGTAGATCATTACAGAAAGACAACGGGTCATAATAATAATCTTTATTTACTGTTTTTTTTAAATATTTTAGTGTGTAATCTACTTGTTTAGTTTGAAAATTCTACATCCACGCAGTCTGTTTCTTCTACGTGGTAATCATGAATGTCGTCATTTGACACAATATTTTACATTCCGACAAGAATGTAAGTGTTTTATTGATATAATTATTATCACTATTATTGCGATTAGTGTTTTTATATTCTGTTATTGAATTCTTTAGAGAATAAAGCCTATATTAAACCAAGAAAACGTGTTGAATTTACGCTGGTTTTTCATAGAGTAGTAGTAACTAATACCATATTTGTCGGTAAACATATACGTTATCGATGAACTTATCAGTTTTAAGATGGAGGTTATTGGGAATTTGCATGAATTTTAAAGCTTAATGACTGATAACTTCTATCTTATTAAGAGCTAATTACGAAATAAGTAAACTACCAAATCTTGGTTATGAAGATGCTCACTGTTAGTAAACTTAAGAAGAATAAAGAACAGAACCTGTGTTTTATAGAGTTTTGATATTTATAATCAAAGAATTACAACTGTATTCGTCCGTCTGGGTGCTTAAGAGTTTCCCACTCCATTCTTAACCATTAATCCTAAGCCTTAGTTAATATCCTAACACAAACTCAACTTCAATCCTAAATCCTAACTGAAACCTTTTTTCGACTTTTTACATATTATCTTCATTCCGATTAGTTGAAAGCGAGCTTTACTGTCCCAAAATCATTTTAGAAGTCACTGGAGGTCTTCATTAAGGTCTCCTTTCATCTATTTCTTTGGTCCTTGGTACTAATCGATTTCTATCGAGCTCTCTGTTACTTATCCCTAGTCTATGTAATTTTAAGCTGCCTTATATCTGATTCCAGTTATACTGTATGATGATTACTATCGAAATATAAATCCCGGCTACCCTCGTATATAATCATCGAATTAAATTGCGTTAGTGAATAACGGAGTTAAATAAGTCGAATATGAGAATGGATTTCCAATATGTATAGTTCATACAATTGTTGATCCAGACAGGTGATCAGAGAAACGAAGCGAAGTGAAACGAAATAACGGGCGGTGGAGAAGGCGAGTGAGCCAACGTGATTTCATCAAGCGTGACCTAATATTTATATTCAGACAAAAATAAATCAGACACATAATGAATAGGGTATGTAGTTAACACACATATGACCATATAATAAATATTCGGACTGAATTATGTGACTGTGAGACTCAATGAGTGCTTTCAGTTGTAACCGATTTGGCTTCACGATCAAAAACTGTTCTAATTGTCGACTAATGATCGACTAAATGGAGGCTGATTGATTTGCAAGAACATAAGACAACTCTAGTGAAAAAACTGTGTAACTGAACTAGCTAATGATGCGTAGCTATGCTCACTCGAAGGTTATATGGCTAAATACAAGGTCATATAGATTGCGATGCACAATAAAGTAAAAAAGAATACCATGTATGCCGAAAACAGGTCATTTAGGGTGAAAATCAGAATAATAATCTTATGACTAGAGTACAACGATAGTTTGAGAATCGAATAAGATATAGCGATAGTTTATAGATCAGACAAAAAGTGAAGATTAGCGTTATAAGAAAAAAATTTATAACCCAATTGTTCGTAACATCACATAATAAGCAAATATCTTAAAAAATAGGTTATCCAGTTTGTCAGTTTTCCTTCATTTTTCTCGTCATAACACCTCTTCATACAAATAATTCCTCAATTATTCTATAATGTAGTTTTAAATAGGACGAACCTTTTTCCATTGATTGATAGAATTGTTATCACTGTGGGGATTTCTGGAGATTATAGCATTTTAACAGTTGAATTCGCGAGCCAATATAAGCTAAGCCACCGTTGAAAATAATGCCCTAGTGATTAACTTCATGATGGGTTTTCTGGAGTTTTACTGAGAAGCCATGACCAGTGGAGTCCAATCCATGTCGGGTGTGAGACAGTTATCCACCTCAAACATTGGATGTAGAATTGCGCAAGACCATGGATCGATTGGAGTTGGACACTAACACGGTTGGATCTCGGCTTAGTGGTTTAGATGTTAAGAGTTCGCGCGCGAAACCAAATGTCCTGGGTTCGAGTCCTGTTTGTGGGATCATGGATGCGCGCTGCTGAGTAGTCCTATATATGGACGAAACGACCGTCTAATGCTTCCAGATTTTCAACGGTGGCTTAGCTTACATTGACTCGTGAATTCATCTGTCAAAATACTACAATCTCCACAAATCTCCATACTGATAATAAATGTTGTTCTAATCTCTTAATACGATTGTTCAACTTATCACAATTAATAGAACTTATCAACACTTCTCCAAGTATATATATATATATATATATATATATATATATATATATATATATATATATATATATAATCACTTTTTTCTGTACATAGTATTACACAATGCAATCAGTATTATGTTAATACTAGTAATAGTCATAATAAGAGTAAATCTTGACAAATATACATGCATTGTACTGATCTGTTATTTTTTCCTATCAACGTTATACTTATATCGTATATAGTGGTAGTGGTAGTAGTAATATAATTGTGATTATTATTATCACCATTATTTCTGGTTCCTATATCATAAATGTATACATTTTTGTGCTTGAACAATATTAGGTATCATGAAGAGTACGGAACATGTTTATGAAGCTTGTATGGAAGCATTTGATCTTTTACCATTAGCTGCATTGATCAATCAACAATTTCTATGCGTACATGGTGGGCTATCGCCTGAATTGCATACATTAAATGATATACGTAAGGTAATGTAGTGTTTCTTTTATTTCGTCCTCTTATTGTTTGTACTTATTTTGTTGCATCTTTCTATTTATTTTGAAAATACATGGTATAACTGACAAGTTGAATAGTTATCTACTTTAGCGTATAGATTAGTTGAAAATTAACTGACTTAATTGATTGATTCAAAGGTTAAAAAATCATTGTAAGATAACGAGTGTCTTGAGTTTGATAACCGGTTAGATTGTGGTTGCACACTGTTATTGAGGTGTTCCATATTGAGATGAAATAGCTGCTGTCCAATGCTTTCTAGCTTTTGATGATAGTCTAACTATTATCAATCCCTAATGCAAACTATGAAAATATATTTATCATCCATTAATCTGTTTTAGTGATACTCAGTGATTTTAATTGATCGTCGTCTTTTTTTTAGTTTTTCATAACATCAAAACTGTTATATTCATAAGTTTGAGTGTGTGTGTAGATGAGATAGATTGGGAAAGGCGACAACTTCAATAGCCGAAAAATCTAGAGAAATATTTGATCATAGCAAGCAAATAATTCCTGTTTGTTAAATAATATGTGTGAGGTAGTGTTTTGGCCTCTGATATAACACATCATCATCATACTGAAATATTTCCATGCACTAAAAGAGAATATAATGACGTTTAATCTCACCAAAACTGTTGGAACATTGTCGATGAGAAGCCTCATACTAGAGGAAGACGACGTTTTATTACTCTTATATGTTTGAAACTGTTTTCTCCATCTCTCTTTTTCTGGTAATTAATCTGTAATGAGAATTAAATGAACGCAGGGAATTTTTTTCCATTTTTTCGATAAGAACTATTTCAACGTTAGTCAATGGGATTGGAGTATTTTTCTTTATTCAGTCGATCACTGTCAGTGTTTTATTTGAACTAATTTTTAAATTCACACTTTTACGATGAATTGATCACTGACTGAACAGTAGTGACCAAATATCACGTTTGTATAGTCCGTTTTTCAATCAAGTTGCAATGTGACTATTACTAGTCTAAGTAACAGTCAATATTGTGTACACTATGTTAAGATGTTAGATGGTTGATGCTAGTTGTCAGTAAGCCGTTTTTAACCCAAGTTTTATACTGCTTGGTACTTGTCCACAGTAAAGTGTACCGTCAATTTTGAAAGAACTAATGCTACTCTATGGTGTAAATTCATTTCATGATCAATCGCAGTTATGTACAATTTAATAAGTGTCAACAATTTAAAGATCTTATACAATAACTTTCACTGTTTTTTTTCTCTCAAAGTTGGATCGATTTAAAGAACCACCAGCATTTGGTGCAATGTGTGATTTATTATGGGCTGATCCATGTGAAGATTTTGGTCAAGAAAGAAATTCGGAACATTTCAGTCATAATACAGTTCGTGGATGTTCATATTTCTACAGCTTTAATGCATGTTGTCATTTTTTACAAGCTAATAATTTACTGTCTATTATACGAGCTCATGAAGCACAAGATGCCGGGTTAGTTGATTTGTTTTTTTAGCATTTTATCATTAAACTAATTAAGAAGAAAGAATGAAGACAATTTTCGGAGAAGGTGGCTTTCTCTTCGTTGACATCATTTTCTGAAGCTGTACAATCGTAATGTTTATAGGTAATTTTTTAAATACATGTAATAGTCTACGGCAAAACAGAGGAGTTTTACAAAATTGTCGAAACTAGTCAAAAAATATGAAGTGGTATTATATAATATAATCAAGATTTTCAAAAGATTTCAAGTATTGAACAAATCGAAGGGATGGAAGTTGTACCATTTGGTAAGGTAATCAGAAATCATTAATACCTAAAGTTGTGTAATAGTGTTGGAAGTAAGAAGAAGTAATAATTTATAGAATAAAAACAGAAGATAACTATCTGCTTTACGAAGTAGAAAGTGAAGAGTAAGAAAATGATCAGTACTTGCGATTTGTAATATGCGAAGAGATGCTGAGACGATGCCATGGGAAAATGAGGGATTGAACATAACTCTTTTGTACCCAGAAATCGGGTTTGAAATAGAGAATAGGTATACTCTCCGTTATGCACAAGTTTCTCATCCAAACCTTTTTTAGAGCCATTACGTTTTACTTTGTAGAGGATTTCGAACTATGATTCACGTGGTGGGATGTGCAATACTAATTCCTTGACTTTCACGTCCAATAATTGAATAAGTTGGACTGTTTTTAATAATTTTGTAAGACTCTTCTATTTTACCGCGGACTACCACCTATATAAAAAAACTAACTATAAATACGATTGTACGTCTTCAGAAAATGATATCTTCATAAAGAAAGTTGTCATCACTGAGAATTGTCTTTATTCCTTTTAGTCATTCTGTGACTTTCTTTTCGTTAAGCAACTGTTGATCACTTTTCATATTTAGACTCTCAATAGTTTTTTTCGGTAATTTTTTATTATCTTTTTAACAGGATACATTTTAGTGGTTTTCAGTTACTGTATTACCGAAATATAAAACTTTTAATTCAAGATACTTCTGTTTAATAGTAGTAGAAACTGTAATACGTTTCAAGGGAAAATATAGGTGAAAATGTTTCGATGCATGGAGTTAAGTAAAAATTGAATACATACACTGTATTGTAATCACTTTCAAACTATATCAACTAAGTTCTTTAATCATACCTTGTATATATATGTGGTGTATGCTACTTATGTTGACAGATATAAGTAGTACGTAATACCGATCACAAGTGGAATTCCTGGCAGCAGAAGTTTGAGAAGATCGAATCGAAGAGATCAAGAATGTCAACAGAGAGTAATTGTAACAATAATTGGAATGAAGGGACAAGGAAGTTTGTGAGAAACAACTGGTAGTTGTGCAAATTATGTATTTGACATAGGGTTTTCACATTTTAGGAAAGCACTGTAATTTCGCACTAAACAATAAATTGGTTTTTCCACTTAAGTTCTCACTTACTACATATTTACACATATGTTACGGACTCTTATAATGTAAATGTCTGCATCCTAGTTCAGTAGGCATTAACTCCATGTACTGGTGTCAATTATCGTTTAATAGTAATTTTAATGTAGTTATTTGTGAATTGACAATAAGCGGTACCTTGAAATACGTAATACATAACACGGAACTACATTAGTCGATGTAACGTTTTTTCTCCATCACCAGTTTTATCACCTTTTAATGTTCATGGTGGTCAGAATTTCAGAAAACATTAGAAAGCTGTTTTATCATAGTTTGAGATTTCTCATATATACTTTTCTATGATCCAAGTTACAATTGAATTCAAACGTTAATCGCGTAGAATGTTTGAAATATACTATATTTTTCGTGATTTTCTTGTTGAATAGTGTCATATTGTCTGAGATGCTTTCAGGTTGTATGTTTATTCTTGTGAGGAGTCCCAAGGTAGGACGAAATAGCATACAAGTGCTCTTTATTTTTCAACAATAATTTCCTAGATGAAAACAATTCATAATGAAAGTAGATTGTAATAAAGTAGCCAATAATTCATTAGTTTTTATCGTAACACTTCAAGATACACTGCATTAACAAACGTTTCCCAACTTCCGTTGTCGTTTGCAGAAAAAAAACAATCTTTAGTTTCAGTTGTCTTTTTAAAATTGATTATAAGAATGCCAAGACTAATAGGACGTAATTTTGTAACATTTTGTGTAGATAAATGAAAGCTTTAATTACAATAAATGTAATATTTCCAACAATTTTACTATTATTTATTATGCTTAAGGTTTTTGTGATTTTTTCTGCATTGTTGATGGATTCTTTTATTTATAAAAATGTATCTATCCTGTGAAGAAGGAACGATCGAAAATTATTGAATAAATGTTAGTTAAACAATCATCGCAAACTGAGAAACAATAGAAATCTGTTTTGTCTTAGTATGGGACTCCCCACCAGTACGCATCAACAAACCCACACTCGGGAATCAAACCCGAGACCGTCATGTCTCTGAGCGATCGCTTTACCTCCAAACCACTGAGCTGGGATCCGATGATTTACATGTATAACTTCAGTAAGTACTGTCTGGTACAACCACCTCCCAATACCATTGTTGGACCTCATACCTGATATAATTGAACATCAGTGTTCATGGCTTTTCACCAGTACTCCAGTAATTATTCCTGGAAATGTGTAACTAGTACTCAGTACAGGGGGTTTGTGGGGATAGTTGATCCTTTCTCTGCTCACAGATTGTTCAATTCTGACACAGTTATTATATAGTTCTGCTATTTTATTCCATTTGACGCTAACTCAATGGTTTAAAGATTAATTGTCCGGCACCAGACATAAAAGTTGTGGGTTCGGTTTTCGATGTATGGGGTCGTGGATATACACTCCTGAGGGGTCCCATACCAGGAACAAAGTAGCTATCCAATACTTCATAGTCTCCATTGGTTATCTAATTAAAGCCAGTCCATGATGTAAACTTCAGTAAAGAGAAACTGATGAAGGGCTTTTTAGGTCATATTTGTTATGGGTTGATCATATTTGACGATGGAACTCCTCAGTAGTGCATATTCATTTGTTGTTAAGTTTCATTGTGAATTACATTAGCTAATAAATTGAACAAATTTTTTATGTCAATATGTATGTTTTTGTGGTTGTAAGAGTACCAAAACTTATGATGCTTATTATTATTAGCATAGATCGTCTTCAAGGGATACTGATCATTTGTTAGCATAATCTATTGTAATTTATTGGCATTCATTACATAGTGTGAAGTGAATAATGCTAATTAATGAATTGTTTTGAAGTATTTACATTAATTCTCACTTAAATCATTTAAAAAACCATAAATTGGTTGTCATTAAATGTTTGTAGTGTATAAGCGAAACCCAAAGTGAATGTACAACCTATCATTATTAAACATATTTGCAAATCTATTGTATTAGCATAAGAGATTTATGGATATTGTAGTATTTTTCATAGGTTAAATCACGAACTGGTTTTAGCTAGATCATTGTCGAAAATCATGAAGGATCGGTTTCACGTGCAAATTCCTAATGCCTAAACCATTATTCCCAGCGTCCAATAGTGTATATACCTAATTGGTGGTTTTGGGTTCGATTTTCCGTGGTTAGGCCGTGGGTGCGCACTGTTGAGAAGTCTTTTATTAGGGCGAAACAGGTATTCATTTCTTAATGATTTTCATTGGTGCTCTAGCTAATATCATATACTTCATTCTCTTCTGATGTTATAAATTGTCTTTGTGTTGATATGTTTTAGTATCATCGATAATGTAATAAAGACGTTTTGTACAATTTAAGAAAAATTATACCTTTAGTAATTAGAATATGAAAAAAATATGCATATCTATATTTAGAAAGATACGATTTAATATTGATCAGACACATTTAACAGTCACATGGAACATAGAACCTGACACATATTTAAATCCGTTCAAGTTGCCATACTGTATCAGTACAGAGAAATAACATTATCAAGATAAATGTCAGAGTAGTGGAAGTGTTGATAATATTCTTGATACTGAAAAAGGTCAGGCATCTATAGGATGGTTCGAAAAGAATAAATTAAGGGTTTATGATAATTTTCAAACCCCAATATCTGAGTAAAAACAAAAAGTATGTGGATTTACTCCATCGCGACTAATAATTAAACCATAACAACCATTATTTCCAGTTATCTATCGTAATAGCCATGTAGACCTCGACCAGATAGTTTGCAACTACCAACATGGCTCAATCTAACTGTTAATGACTTCATTGGTTGATTCTATGTCTTAGTTTATCCACTTCTAGCATTCTTTCAACTTACTGCTATCACTGACAAATATTATGCGTCGATGTAGGTGGTAGTTGGACATAAATAATTCATGCTTCAACTATATTTCACTTTTTAAAAAATATTTTTTTGAAAAAAAATACATGCACGTTATCGATCCTTTAATAAAGGAACCTGTTTGAATATCGTCATTTTGATTGAATTGTTTTTCTCCTTCATTATTTTTGTTTTCTCCAATTTTAGTTATCGAATGTACAGAAAAAGTCGACAAACTGGATTTCCTGCTTTAATTACAATTTTCTCAGCACCAAATTATTTAGATGTGTATAATAATAAAGGTAAGTTCAGTTAATAATTATTTTACTAATACCGTAGTGAACAAACCACTTCGTGGGGATCGAATTACAGAGTACTATCATAAATTATGAAAACTATACATTAAATACATTATTTGCACATCTTCCATGAGTTGTCATTTACATTCTTCATGATTTCTTCAATTCCGTTGTTATTGCAATTGCTGTCTGTCCTCTTCATTTCAATCTTCTCACTCTTCTGACATTCATTCCACCTGCGATTGACATTTCATACTACTTATATCTGTTTAGATAAGTAGCATATACCACACTACTGTTTGAATAAAATTTGAGACTTAAAGCTAATGGTTTGTACAATCACTCGTTTTCTAATTTCTTGAATCACGTAGAGTTGTTTAGAGTTGCTCATGTTTTACACTGCTGATCATTTCAGTATAATAATCAACATTAAAAAAGTGATTGATGGGCATTTGATATGAAAATACCTTGTGTCTAAATTTGATGCTAGTGTTGAAACTTGTAATCTTCAGGGAACATATAATATTCCCTTTTAAGATTTGGGCCTACATTATCCAATTTCACAGTCTATGATGTTTATCTCTGACCTATTCAGGCTTGTTTTATGTGAGTTAATCAACTCAACTTTTTATAGTAAGAAATTGAAAAGAATCTGAATTCGAGAAACGATGAATAGAAGAACAACAACAATCATGTCGACATAAAACGACATATTCGATCCACTTTTAAACCTATTAAAAGAAGTTAAACCTTAATAAAAAAAACAAAGATAAAAGTTACAAAAGAAAGATGTGTAATTGTAAACACGCTCTGTGTACATGTATGCTTTTAATTTGTTCCTGGCATTGTCGTCTTCATTATCATGGTCAACAACAGCACATCATGTTATTTCATATTGTTCTACTTACTTTTTTGTTAGTTAGATCTTACTTGACTAGATGTTTGCTTGTTTGTTTGTATAAACATGTTAGCAACTCAATGACAAGTTGGAAATGTGAAAAATTTGTTTCATGTTTCTATGTGTTTAACATTATCAGTGATAAACCTTAGTTGAAATTTAATATCCATCTCTTTCAAAATAAGAAAAAATTTTTTTTTCCCTCTTTACTTAAAATTTGTTTTCACTAAAATAAAATCTTGTTAATCCTCTTGTGTTAAGCTGTAATAATCTAAAGTCATTAGCTTAGTGGATAGTTTATGGCGTTTGAAACAATGATTATTGGACTCAAATCTCGATTTGAACATTAATACTGTGATGTTGTCACATCCGAATAGGAAATTTTGGTCTTGAACTTCAGTCCCACTCACAGTTAAACTTTAATAAAGATTCTTGACTTAAATGTATAATACATTCATAAAACTGTGAACAAGCTTTTAACACATAAAACTTTGCTAGTTATCTAATGAATGAAATGAGTGTAATTATAATATCAGTCGTATTAGTCATTACAAATTTGTGCAGGTTATTTACCGACAGTTTGTTTTACTCCATTTACTATCCGACTTATATTTATTATCTTTTAATCACCCGTTTCAAACACATGCAACTAATCTTAGTGTTCTAGAAAAAAAGTCAAGTCAAAATTGTATGTTTAGTTTGAAACTGTGACTATGTTTTGTACTTTGGAATATTAACAATCTGTATGGTGAGATTCAGGAGGCTAATTTCAGCCCATATGGGACATCTCAACAAGACTCATCTATCTTCGTCTCGATGTTGATGTTCATATCAATATTGGGAACTTGTATGTGCACCCATTACTTCGAATACCATGTGACTTTATTCACTGTTCTTATTATATTGATATGTAAGTATAAGATTGTGGAGATTGTTGAGTTTTTTTGAAATCATGAGTCGACCAATGTCAGACAAACATTAAAAACCTGGGAGCATTGTACGTCCGTTTCGTCCTAGTATGAATGTCAGCTCAATGGTGTAGAGGTTGTGTTTGCTCGAAAGATGAAAGGTCGTGTGTTCGATTCCCGACTTCGGTGGTCGTGGAGAATACTCACTGTTGTGGAGTCCCATACTAGGACTAAATAACTGTCTGGTGCATCCAGATTTTCAACAATGGTCTAACATTGATCGACTCGTGATATTAATGTGTTATTTCTCATTTGGAACTTTCACTACAAGTAGAATTGATTGCTAATCAGTCTCTATTTTCTGTTCATTAAACTTTGTAGTCATGAATATTTAACTGTCGTTAATAGAAGAAGATATCAGACTTTTGAAGAATCTGATTCATGTCTTCTATGAACTGTTCTTTCTTTCTATCGTTGTTTGAAATACCCGATTATTAACTGAAGAAAGTACAAGAATTTTAAAGTAATAAACAATCAGTACACAAGTTGATATTGATCCAGTTTATGAATCCGAACAGAACTGCGAATTAATTACAAGGATAGAGGTAAACCAATTAAGATAGTCAGTGTGAATAAGGCTAAGGAAAATGAAGATGGAAAAACCCATGATGATAGCTAAACACAAATAAAGCTATTAAAATGAGCTGATATAATATTTGTGAAGTAATTAGAAAAAATCACTTGTACATGAATCAGCCTCCAAAGATATTGTCTAGAATGACAATGAGAGTTTCAGAATTAAACTGTCTAGCTTGAAGATCTCAAAACTGTCAAATTAAAGACTGGTTTTAAGATGTATTTTCTGGAGTTCTAGTGAGAAGCCGTGACCAGTGTTGTGTGTGAGACAGTTATCCATATCAAACACTGGATGTAGAATTGCGCAGGACCATGGATTGATTGGAGTTGGACATTTACACGGTTGGATCTCGGCTCAGTGGTTTAGATGTTAATCGTTCGCGCGCGAAGCCGAATGTCCTATGTTTGAGTCCTGTTTGTGGGATCATGGATGCGCGCTGCTGAGGAGTCCTATATATGGTCGAAACGGCCGTCTGGTGTTTCTAGATTTTCATTGGTGGTCCAGCTTAAATCAACTCATGAATTCAATTACTAAAGATTATGTATATAAACTAATGGATGATACCAACTCAACAGTTTAAAGGTTAAACTCTCGCTAGATTATTTTAAGATATTTTGCCTGCTTTGTGATAAAGTTGTGCTCACCAATTTGTGAATTATCTCATTCTAGGATAATGTAACTGTGCAATCTTTACTGGTTTATGATGGATACTTAAATAGAATTTATTGAGTCGCCTAAATTGCAAAATAAACATGTTTTGTAATTTTAAGACGAACTAAATCCAAAAATTTAGTAAACATTTTGTGTACAAATTTTGATGGAGTTTTATTCTCTAAGCTGGATGGTTTGGTCGTGGAGGTTTCATCGTTCTTCTGCACGACATCATTAGCACAAACTTCAGGTAGAGGTGAAGTGTTCCAATTTCTCCATATTCGTTTCACAGCTTGTTCTGTACACCTCGACGTTGGTTGGTTCTTATTGAGCTACAAGTCTTCTCCACCATCTCATATATCACATTTAATTTGTGAATAGCTAACATTTAAACACTGACATGAATTTACGAAGGTTATATTAATTATAATAGTTTTTATTAGTGTCGAATTTTTCACAACTATAGAATATGAAGAAAGTTTGTGAATATTATTAAAAGATCAATTCTGACAGATTGCTTATCATAGTTTGGCTTCCTCGGTTATGTGTTATCTTTCAATAGAATTCTTAAGAGGATCTATTACTTGAAATCATAAAAGTAAACATAACATTATTCGAAGATGTGAATACTTTACAGTACTTTAACTTCGATTAATTTTGTTATACGCTTCAGTGATCGTTGAAATGTCTATTTAATGTTATCAAATTATTTCCAAATACTTCATAAACGATATTGATGTAAAATGGTTATTGATTAATTATAGTTTTAAGAAGTATACTTAATAATTGATATATTCTGATGGGTTCTGTTCCACATAATTTGTCTTTCTTAACGTTCATCTGTCTTTTGACTAATAAGAATGTTAAAGATATCAGTTACATATTTTTATTTGTTATTAATATATGGTATTTATGGTTTATTTAACTAAATATAGTTACGTGTCGATTGATTGTAAATCAGTTTTATATATCTCATTCCTTCTTTTCACATCTATTAATAGACGTATATAGACTAACAAAAGCATCATAAGTTTCTTTTTTTATTTGTAAACTTCTTTAACATCTTCAATATGAAGGAGACATTGACTTGTTAGTGATTTAATTCTAGATGAATTCCTGAAATTCTGATGAGGAATCGTAACTGATTAGGTTAAGACATATTACATGTGAAGCAGTTCTCTCTAGAGTGGCATTAAGGGGTGATATTCAATGTAATGAATTTGATTTAATCTGGAAATTTGTAATAATACATGATAACTCAGTAGTCTAGTGGTTATACTTTAAAGATCCAAGGTTCTGTTCTTGATGCGGTTATGGGTGTATAATACTAAATCTTCTTATTCTAGAATGAGACATCTGTTAGATGTTTCCTGATTTTCAGTAATGCCTCGAATGAAATCAACTAGTCTATAGTAAAACCACCTACGATTTAAAATCATCATCACAAAAAACCATTTCATCCAAACTAGAATTATTGACTATTAACTCATTTACGAGATACTGATTTATATATATATATATATATATATATATATATATATATATATATATATATATATATATATAAGTATGATGAAAACAAGTGGTGCTATTCAATTGCTTGAATCATAATAGATGGAACTGAGTTCGAATCTACGATTTAATGGCTTAAAATGTAATACTTTAATCATTAAATCAACCACTTCTTCATTTAGATTATTTCCAGATATCAATTATTCTCTAGTTGTTTACTAATTTTGTTTCATGTTCATTTGTTTTATTTGATGTTCTCTTTCGAGTGTAGATTTTCAAAATAACACTCCTTTTTTTCTTCTTAAAAAAAATACTTTCTTGTCATATTTATATTTATAATATTGTTTAAATAAAATTAAGATAACAATCGGTCTCGCGCGCGAGCGCTTAACCTCTGATAGGTCCTGGGTTCAGATCCCGCGAAGTGGGTCGTGGATGTGCACTTCTGAAGAGTCCCACAGTGGGACGAAACAGCCTTCCAGTGCTTCCAGGTATTTCATAGTAGTCTAGCTTCAATAGACTCACGATCTCAACTATTGAAATTACTACAATCTCTACAAAACCCCTTCGGATGATAAATAATTGTTAATTATTTCAGAATAAAGACAATTCAATCGGGTAAATAATTCATGATAGAAAAAGATAAAATGAAGATCGAATAAAGTTCACACTTTTTCTTAAATGAAAAGAAATCTTTTCAAAGAAAAAAGAAAATCTAGTCCTACAAACATTTCGGTAACAATCTAAAATAATTAATGATATGTTCAATTTCACTGTTTTGTTAAAGATTAACCGGATACTTCAACAAAACAAACAAACATTGATACAAATTGTTTACTGTTTATAATAAGTATAAAGAGATTTTATTATCATATAACTATAATAGATAATTGTATCTCATTATCAAACTATGTTATTCATATGTATAAATGATTGGAAATAATACAAAATAGTAATTAACCAACTTGTTTACCTTAGTGCATGATTATTTATCCATAGTGTAGTGTAGATCAATCTACTCAGCTAAGCAACAGAAAATCTCCATTTCACAAAACACTTAACATCAAACAGAATTGTTTCAGTGAAGTAAAGATTTTTTTTTGTTTTTGTTTTTGACTGAACTTAATATGACCAATGAGCTTTGTTAATTAATATGTATGTCAGAGTAAATTGATAGGAAATCTTGAATCTAAATTTTATGGTAGTTGTTACTCGTCAGAATTGCTGTACTAGGAATTCTATTGAAATTCTTAAATTAACTTCTTATCTTTAATGTTAACACATTTTAAACGTTACACTTACATCATTTTGTTTTCTTGTTGTATTTTTGAAGTAGAGAGCTAAACAATCTACTGATTCTTTTCTTATCAAGATGATGATTTATTCTTATAGGATGTAATTACTTGTCTATTGATTTAATTTGGTGATTATGTTTCTTTTCTTGATGTATTATTGAACTGAAGACTTGGTAGTGATCTTGGAAACGTGTTGTGATATCTTAATTGAATGATTTATTCGTATGAAGCTTTCAAAACATCAGCATCAGCTCATATTGCGACTTATTAGAATTTTACGATAGTCGGTTGACGATTTATTCTGTTCACTCGAAATGTGATCAGTTTTTCGTGTGATTGTTGTTTGGATGTTTATTCCAAGTGTTTTCTCCCCCTGATATTGCAGTTGTTTTTTCTTTTTCTTGCTGCTTTACAGATAAGACGGATTTTGATGTGTCTACTGGTTAGTGCGTATGTGATTAGAGTGTCAGGCTTCTGAAAAAATCGGACTTTTTTGTGTGTTTCCTGTGTTAGGGGGGAAAATGAAATATTCTCTAGAAGGCCAATGAAAGCTTTACGTGATTGAGTTATCTTGCTGATAAAACACAACACTAAACTCCTCATTCTGAGATGTAAATATTCTCCATCACCTTGTTGCGAATACAGTATTCTTGTATCATCGATTCACAATTTCTAACAGTTCATATTTTACTGACTTCAGTAATAAATTTAAAAATGTAGATAACGTGATCATCATTAATTATCATCAATTTGTGACCATTTCCATTTTGTAGTTGATATCAAGAACTGACCTTGATTAGACAACCTTTGAAAATCAGTAAGCACTGTACAAAGAATATCGACAATCCCATCTGGGATCGAACTCACGAACTTCAGGCCTTAAGCTTAGTGTTTATTTGATAGTAATTCCTGTTGAAGTAGAAATCGTATCCAAATCAGAGCAACATCCTACGTTAAATGTCTTCCAAATAGATGTACCCCTTCCATAACTTTTTTATCTCAATCAATTATTAATCAACTCCGAATCTTGCGTCAGTGAAACATTGACAAGATAATTCTTGTAAACTATATATATTTACTTATCAAAATTCGTAATTGTTTTCTCCATTGAACATCTTATTCAGGAGAATGGTTCATCGTATACTAGCGCTTTTGGTCACTTCGGTGTTCATTTATCAGTTCACTCTCTTTTTGGGGGCTGTTTAGAAAAATAAATACTTTTAGATAGTTTAAGTAAATTACATTGTAGTGGACGAGAACTTAGGTGGGGAAGACCAATTTATTGTCTAAAACAAAATCACACAGTGGGTTAGTAAAATCTGAAAACCATACATTAAATGCATCATTTGCACATCCTATTTGTGCTATCCTTTACACACTCCATTATTCCTCAAATTCTGTTATTATTTCTATTACTCTCCAATTTTCTTTCTATTCTCTTCATTTTAATCTTCTGCTGCCAGGCATTTCAGTTTCTATTGATGCTACATACTACTTTTATTTGTCTGTACAAGTAGCATGCATCACAACATCATTGAATACAAAATTTCTTTGCCTGAACCATCTACTCATTAATCTGTATAAATGAGCATAAATATAGTAAGAAATAATCATACTGTACAATGATTGACTGTTTTATGTGTTATAGATGTAGCCACGATTTTTTTTTTTTAGTAATATAAAGTTACTTTAAGGTCAAAGAAGCGCTCACAACAGTATTATTATTTAAGAAGAAAAAAAAAGATTTACTGACATGAATGAAGATACCTTCGGTTAGTGTTTTGTAGTCACATGATTTATTGACTCTAAACTATTTTACTTCGTGAACATAAAGTTGTATCTCTTATTTCATACATTCGCATTCACACGCACACACACAGACTTGTACATGATTGTTTTTTTATTCACATCGTACCATATAACATTATACATACTTTACTAAATTGAGAATAATTATGCCTGTTTTAAATAGATGTCTCTTTTAATTCACTTGGTATTGTTTTACTTGATTCTTCCTATTGATGTTTAGGACTGCAATTGATCGGTCTCTTGTTGGTGTATGTGCATACTGTGCGTATTGTCTCGATATTGTCTTAATTTACAAGCATTATATACAAAGATGGGTAGTGGCTAGTAGTGGGATCCAAGACGCGTGTTTATTTATCTTGTCGTTCTAATGAGATATGTCAGTTTAAGTCAGCGGATATTTCTACCAGACTCTTGTGTTGATTATAATTGATCAAATGATCTTGTGTATAATTATCTGGGATATTCTACATTGTGACAACACGACCATCTAGTGTTCTATTGCTTTTTAGTATAATTCTCTAATTTAATGAAGGCTAACTTCAATAATGACAAAAATGTTTTTGATTTATTTTGGTACATTGAATTTTCGAAAAAAGCGGTTGCTGAACTCATGAACCGATTTAAGTAAGACAACTTTCACCCTAGTATGGTACTAGTACTGCAATCGATCTTTTTCTGTTGATATATGTGGATCATTGAGTGGATCGCTTTGATATCTCCGTTTAGTCACAGGTATTTTAGTAAAGTTGGATAGTGGGAATCAGTGGAATCTAGGACGGACATTTCTTGCGATTTAGAGCTTATCAACCGGATGTACTTTTATCCTAGTGTATTAATGCCTGGACTGAAACTCGAACCCGGTACCTTTCACTTCAGATGCTCAACTTGTTGTCCACTAAACTACTGAGTCAAAAGAGACGTTAACTTGTACAAGAGGTGTGAGATCTATTTCTAAGAGTTTGTATTTTGCTCACCTTGGTTTCTGTCTGATCTGAGTAGCTCAACAGATAACACTAGGCGTTTGAAGTTAAAGGCAATGGGTTCAAGTCTTATTATGGACATCAACACAGTTTGATACAGGTGCACATTTAACTGACGAGTCTCAAATTAGGAGAAACGCACATCATTTATTGCAGTCCAAACTACTATCTAATGTTACCAAGATATCGTTGAATACTACTATAGCTTAGTGATTATATTTGCTTATTTTTGTAAATTATTTGTTTCTTTCTAGATATTTTCCCTAATTGAGTGTTTTATGTTAAAATAACACTTGAAATCTCGTGTGTTTTTTGGAATTTGTTTCTCTCCCATATTTTTATCTACTATTCTTTATTTACTTATGCTGTGACTAATTTTCCCCTAGCTTTATTGATTTGTTATGTTTTGTTTTCTTTTTTTTGGTCAATTCACTGACCAATCAACCGATGGAATGATTGGTTACTAAATTGATAATTTTTGTTAAATGTTTTTTTAGCCGCTATATTAAAATATGAAAATAATGTAATGAATATACGTCAGTTTAACTGTTCACCACATCCATATTGGCTACCGAATTTCATGGATGTATTTACTTGGTCATTACCATTTGTTGGTGAAAAAGGTAGGTGATGATGTTTGTTTATTTAAATAAAATAAAATTGTGTCTATAATGTTTATAAAATGAATTGGTGAGGTTAAAATAAAAACTGATTGCTCTTATGTTTATATATGTAGAAGATATAAAGATCAAGAGAGTTGTACGGAACTTGATTTCGTTATTTCCAGAAAGAGTTGGTCAAAGTGAATAACTGGTTAGTTAAACAGAAAGAATCTTAGTTCAACTTAGTATACTGGTGCTAATAATAACAAGCACTGTGAAACATATACTCATAAAAAGAATCAACTATGCAACTGATTATCAAAACAGTACTGTCCACCTATAGTCAAGATTGTATATGGAATGAGCGATTTTACATTCAATTCTCTATCTAATATACATTTATTTTTATACGTAATAATTACAGTTATATGATGACAGTTTAAACACATGAATAAAATGAAACTATTTGTTTTAATTATTCATGAAAACAATGAGTAAGAAATTGTAGGATAGCACTACTGATAAGTAATGTAACTCATTTACTAAGTATAATAAAGGATAGTGATATTACACTTGTTGAAATCATGAGTCAATTGAAACTAGACCACCGTGGAAAACCTGGAAGCACTGTACAGCCGTTTCGTCCTAGTACGGGACTTCTCAGCAGTGCTCATCCACGATCCCACACCCCTCAGGATTCGAACCCAGGACCTATGTGTCTCTTGCCAGGCGCTTAACCAATTAGACCACTGAGCCAGACGGCATCCAACAGTGTTAATGTCTAGCTTCAACCAATCCACGAAGTTGCGCCACCGTACACCATTGTCTTCAGTGAGTTACTATCTCACAACAGACCTGGTTGAACTCCACTGATAACGACTTCTCACTAGTACTCCAGGAGTATCTCCTGAAGTCAGTCACTAGTGAGCAGGTGATTATTATTATCAGAATGGGTCCTGGGTCTTGCGCACTGCTGAGGAGTCCCACACTAGGAAGGAACGGCCGTCCAGTGCTTCCAGATTTTCCATCGTGGTCTAGCTTCAATTGACTCATGATTTCAATCTGTGAAATTTCTAAACATCTCCACAAAACCCATTCTGATAATAATAGTGATACTAGTTAAACTTTACAGGTTTTTTAATATGACATAACTTAGTTCGATTGTTTTTACTGTGATTTTTAATGATTAAGTTGTTCGATTTCCATCTACTAAGTTACAGTTCCGAATCCTATTCTATTTAATTCCATTTGAGCAACTAATTAATATTATTAATAGCTCTCACATTTAACGAATGACTTAAAGTGTACTCCATGAATTTCTATTAGATAAATGAATAATGAAAGAAGAAAAAAAAATCGTTTGTAACTAAAATGATATTGAATTTGGTTAACATCTTCGATGTGATCGAAAAAAGTAGATTTATGTCCAAGCGTAGTAAAACACTTTCTTTTCAGTCTTTGTTTGTTTGTTTATTTTCTTTTCTATAATCAGTTATTATCATGATCGAGAATAATCAGTTTTATTCCAATTAAATTGTTGTGTATATTTGTGTTTTACATTGTTAGTTTCCTCTTCTTTTTTTCCCTTCTTTTTGTTCCCTTACATTTTCATTAACTTTCTGTTCTTAATTATGGTCAACAAAAATCCCGGTTTTACAGAAAGAAGAAAAAAAAACAGAGATAAAAATGATAATAAAAACAAAACTTTTTTAGAGCTTAATTAATTTTTATTCTATCATTTTATCATAATTAAGGTTTTTCTATAAATGACGGTATTATTATAATTTTTGTTATTATTATTATTATTATTGGTAGAAGTAGAAAAGAATGGACTTATTTCAATGTTTGTTTGTTTGTTTGTGTTAAATCGTTGTAACAAGGATTACAGTGTTGTGATCTCCGGTTTTCCCACGATACTTGTAAATTAAGAAATAATTGAACTAGTCTAATCAAAAATTAATTCTCTCATGGATTCGACAATGACAGCTGGTACACAACACTTTAATAATTAGCATTTAATCCAGGAAAAGGTGAAGTATAGGAAAATTTGTCATTAAAGCAGTTAACTTGAGAAGGTACAACTTAGTATATATATAGTAATGAGGGGGGTTGACCTTGAATGACGCCGAAAATTGGCTGAATCAATATAGTGATTATCAATCCGAAAAGGGTAAGGTCATGAGAAAACTTGAATTAATTAAAAGGAATCATTTATTATCGTTTTTGTTAAGACTTTACCACTATTGACAGAAGTTAAGTAATAAGCAGCTTGTTTGTTACTTCGTAAATAAATTAAGTTGATAAGGGTTCTAAAATGAAAAAAAATTATTTACTTCTCGTCGCAAATGATAAATAAATAGCCTTAAAGATTGTTGTTGTTGATGATTATGATGATAACGACATTTATCTTCGTTTACTTCAACATAAAGGTGTCATTTAAAACGGGTGGATATCAATAAAGACGATCATCAAAATGACACAAATGAAAGATGATTAGTCATTCATTTTAAAATGACTATACTTGGGTATTGAGTAGAATCTCAAGTGACAGAAAATGTGCAGTTTATAAACCTGATTATTATTTATTAATTTTAGCTATAGTATGATTGCACATAAAATAATTTAATAGTTACAATTGTTCAATCATTCAGTAGCGACCAGTGTCATGTGCCAATCGAATTCTATCGATTGAGCTTCAATCTAACGGCTAACCTAGGTGACCCATTAGCACATGGACTTTGTTGGGATGGTAAGCGATTAGAGGTAACCAAAAGGTAACGTAGTTTCAGGGTTTTCTGTTGACTAATTTTAATCATATAACATCTCGCATTAATGTCTATTCCTATTACGATAAACTAGTTGAGTAGAGTTCAAGATGATACAGAATGTTTTTAAAAGAAACGAATTGCGCTCTACATTATACTTTTAATGGCTTATTGGGATGCTATTAGTAAGCATCAAAAGTACTAAGACAGTTGATCTTTTGATAGTTATTGAGTATACTGTATGAAAAGAGGATGAGAGTGAAAAAGAAAATTTTATTAAACGCTTTACTAACATTATTCTGACTTCCAATCATCAACTATCAAAGCTTCTTCAGTGTAATGTAGGTTAAAGTGTGAATCAGATGGAATCTTTCAATTGAACACTACAAATGATATAAAAAAATACACAGAACATTCTTGCAAAATAAAATGACCTAATTTCTCTGCATCATCTATTGATTATACCTATACAAATAGGTGCTCCTGAATGTGATAAATAGCTTACTTGCTTAGTTGTACAAAAATTTGTTTCTATCTTGTTAATTTTATTATAAATATTGTTTTGTATCTGGAATTCTTGATCAACATTCATATTGGATCTCTTTTGTAACAATCTTTAAATTGTTGACATTTACATCAAATCTATTTACCGTAATGATGAGATATGCATATCAAATGTGAAGCCTTCTAATATCTCTACGAGTTTCTAACCCTCAGACTAAGAGGCCTTCAGGTCCTGATTTCTATCTCTGGTGGCTTCATAAATGCGCACTGTTGACAAATCTATATTCTCACGAAACTGCTGCCCTATGATTCTTGATTTTCATTGTTTTTTCTAGTCGAGGTCTCTTTGCACTGCGCACTTGTAAATCTCAATCTCCACAACCCTACATATATATATATATATATATATATATATATATATGCCAAAGTTTTAATGTTTCTTAAAATAATGATTAGATATAAGAAACAAAATCATCCAGTCTTTAAGAATAACGTTAAGAGATCAAGTGATCTATGTTAGTCTTTAGATAATTATAGACGCAGCCTGTAAGAGGGTACTTTCACATTACTTTTCAGGATAACTAGACACTATTCAGGCTTTCTAAAGTCCGAATATAGCATAGCTCAGTCATGTGATGCATCTATATATTTGTCAAGAACACTTGAAGATGGTTTTACTTTATTGTTGGTTGAAGTTCAGTACTAAAAGTCGATCAGTTAGTTACATATTAAAAAATGTTTTATTTACAAGAGTTGGTAACTCTACTCCGCCTTATTTCCTCTTCCTTGTACCTAATATGTTGATAGTTTCACTAACACCATCTTTTCGTTCTACTCTTCATATAGTATTATATTTAGTTCGATGGTTCCAACCCTTTCATACAATCAGCGTCATTATCATCAACGATTATTGATTTGTTTGTGCACACTGTTTAATTATTTTCGGAAAAAATAACTGGGAACAAACATCCTTTCACCATTGAATTCACTCTATTTATGCTATTTGGTAATCTAAATAAAATAGCGTCGTATCTGCTACTTCATCTCTCTCTAAATTGTATCCTATATTCTTTCCTATCTCTCCTTATCTCCTCAATGTCCTTCACACACTGCATGACTGTCTCTTGTTGTTCTCAATCTCCTGATGTTATTACATTCCAACTGGTAGAGACTGGATTGGTGGATGTTGGTGGTGTGCATGTGTATTTTCTCCTAACAAAACAATTAGAAACTGCTTTTATACTATTAATCTCGAAATTCTGTTCATATTTTGCCTAATATTACTTTCACACTGTTGATGTCGTTGAGATGATGATGACCAAATGTTTTTACCACATTCACTCAGTCTATTCACAATAGTCCCACTTGTTGACGTTACATATTAATAATTATAGTAAAACAATAATAATAATTCCGAACAAAGATTGATCTTCCTTTTTCTCAGCTTCGTTTGCTACTCTTTCCTGAATAGTTGTCTCTTTACTTATGTCATTATCCTGTTCGTGTTGTGTTGTGTCTTTGCCGCTTGTCACTTGTTCACCTCGCCTTCCTTGTTGTTGCCTTTTTTTCCATTTGTATGCATCATTGTTTCCATTGGTCGCCCATCTTCGGTGGTGATACACACACAAAAATAAACTGATGATGATGGATTTCGTTTTGTTATTGTTTTCATTGTTATTACACTTTGACAGCTTACATTTACATCGTCAATATCTTACTTGTTATCAATTGCTTTTCAAATGTTATTTTCTCTGTATTTTCTTTAAAAAAATATCGCTGTGATATAATTCTTCGTAACACTAGAATGTGCGTTGTGTTTACTAAGTGTGTGGGGGGAATACAACCCATATATATGCGTGTCTCAATATATTTCCTTACTGATTATGTGATTTATCTACATGAGTACTCTCTCCCTTTCACGCTCACTTTTGCGTTCTCCATCTTTGTTGACTTCTTTCTTACAGTGTACTTTTATTCTGTGTATATGTGTGTTCGTGACGATACTTAAAAACGAGAATTAATTCATTATTATTAATGAATAGAGAATTCAGTTTTTTTCCGCTCAATTTGTTATTGTTGTAAATATTTTAACTCGTTTTGACATGAGAATTAAAATGTTTCCTCTTTCAGTTGTTCACTCTCTGTTTCTCGTCCTTTCTCTCACTCACTCTCTCTCTCTTTTCTGATTTATGGATGAGATGAAGTAAATGGAACACAAATATAAAGTGTGTGTACATTATTTTTTGAGGGAAAAACAGGTTTACTAACTAACTACATATCAATTATAAATATGTAAATGTTATATTGTTTTGAGTTTTACAAGTAGGAATTAATTTTTATTGTTTTGTTTTTCCCATAAAAAGAATAGAATTATTCAATCATATTACAATAATTTCATAAATTGCAGTAATTTATAGTAAATGTGTCGCATAGATGGGGAGGAGGGCTGGTTGCATTGTGTTCTCTGAGATAAATGGTTCAGTTCCAAGACTTTCATTGTCAGTCCTGGCAACAAAATTATCAGAAATTACTTCACGTAGAAATTGTAAATCTTAATTGAAATTGGAAATATAAACAATTTTTTGTGACTTAATAGTAGTTCAATGATTATGTCATGTTTGTAACGTGACGTGAATAGATCAATATCTTACTTTGAATTCTATGTTGATCATTGAATGGTGCATACTTTTTAAGTGTTGGAGTTGTTAAAACACTAAACTGAAAAGACTATCCTTCAATATTCTTTAATTGTGTTTATAAGTTTCATAATGTAAAATAACTTTCAACTTTGAACAGGCTTTACAAATCCTTTGAATTTAAGACTGTCATAACTTCTTGAATACTGCTAAACTATGGCTATGCTCATTTATCAGTTACATGTTTATGTATCTGGCTATGAGATCAACTCCGATTGGAAGGGTTTATAATACTACCTGATTGCCTAGTCAGTCAAAAACGTAGAACTTCATACGTACGTACATCAGTTCGGGTTGACATATCACATACCGTATCTGGTTGCCCAGACTGAAATATGTAAGACGGGGTTGAAATCTGGATCATAGTGGTTGAAATTGAACGCCTCAACCTCAGAGTCACCATTTTATCCATTAATAACGATGTGAATGTGAGCACTAACTTTATGTTAAACTGAATTATTTGTTTAGTTCAAGAACATGTCTAAATGATAAATTGACACTTCAGTGATATTTGCTTCGTTTTAATGTAAAAATTTTTATCATTATCAATGAACATACTCTCGATTTTTTTTATCTAAAGTCTTGTTCTAATAGAACAGTGTTTCTTTCTATATTAAATGAGAAAAGTTTGGGATTTTTAAGATGTTTTATTTTCTGAACTGAATGGTTTAACTGTGCAATACATTTACTGTTTGGAAACGAGAGAACGTATTCATAATGAAAACTTCCTCAATAGTACAATATACACTACTAAACTATACAGCTCAGAGAAAAAAGACATCTGTAAAATTCGCATGTGGGTCTTGTAAATGTTTATCTTCATCTCGGGGTTGATGATTCTCATTTCTACATAGAACCACATTTTTCCTCTCAAATTTGTGTTAATCATTTTATTACGTTGAGTCTCTCATCACGACAAACTGTGAGGAATACGCATTCTTTTTTCTTCTTTGGAATAAGCGTTTATCTCTAAAAAAAAAGCATGCCATCACTGAACATTGAATTGTTTGTCACTTGTAAATAATTGATTATTAAAAAATAATGTTGAGTTCTATATGGGAAGAAATGTGCTTCTTTGATCCTACTGCCAGCTACTGTTTGTCTGTTTTACAAAATATTGTGGTTATAAATTTTTTTCGAGTAATATTTTCACATTTTTAATTTGTATCACGATGTAGTAGAGCATTTGATAAATAATCAACAGCAAAAAAAAACTAGCGAGCATTGATTCAACAGTTATTTCGTTTTAGTGTGGATTTATTGGACAGTGCGTGGGCCCACAATAATATGTTCATAGCTGTGTTCGATCCATATTGTTTAAGATTTTAAGATTACTATGACTTATTTATAATATGATACCCCTTTTTACTGTACATGGGCTCCAGGATCTTAATAGAACAGATGGCGTATGAACCACTTATTGGTCAGCGGCTACCATGGGATTGCATCTCCTTACGTTACTCCACTGTCTTATGGATTAGACCTTTATGTCAAACGCTCGGGGTGTGGTCCCATAAGAAAACCACCTATTTCGGTTTGGGCACCTAGGCGGTATTCCAGCCCTCACACAAATCGAATGATTTATGTGGTGCATATCTATTTGGTGCATCCGTGTACCAATGTTTACGTGTCAAATAAATAAAACTTCGTAATGCAAACTCTTGATCGCGTTGCTTTCTCTCAGCTGGATGATGTGATTTTAAACCTTTGGTTGTCTTCTAGAAGATACCATCAGCTTCTTTTTAACATAGAAATGAGCTTTTCAGTTCATTCTGATAATCTTGTCTGTGATTAGTTGTCCTTCATTTGTTTTTGAATTTTGTTGTGATGGGTGCTGTCCGAGATCTGATACTAATACACAACGTGCTACACGTTGACTGACTAGCTGAACGATATGTCAAGAGTAGAAAAGAAAGTCTATTGAGCTACCGAATAATATATATATATATTTTTTTTTTCTACCACTTAGACAATCAATTCATTTCCTAGCCAATGATATGCGTTTGTCCTTCAGGTCATTTCTGTTTGTCATCGAGTGACCCTCTGGTTTAGCTACTTCTGATTGGCTCATCATACCAGATTCCTGTTGATGATCCTTTATGGTCGATCTCTAACTATTTATTCGATTAACCCCTTCCTTATAGATTGATGGACTGGATTTTTGTTGGGGTATTTTTTGATTGCCAATTGATCTGGTTATTGGGTTTGTAGAAATTCTCTGGGATTCCTAGAATTCCTTAGATTCAGATTTTTAATGTTTCTTCAATCAAATTCATGTCCATGATTTACCGTCTAAATAAAGAAATCTCTATTATGTCATTTGACTCAGAGAATACATCACCAAAAATATTATTAATCCACTTGACCTGTAAATTCTCTTTATCATTGGATTGTTGAAAACTATTTTCATATAAATTAAGTTAATATGAACTACTATTTTATTTATTAAATTGTATTATTTAGTTACTGAAATGTTGGTCAATGTACTTAATATATGTTCAGATGATGAACTGCTATCGGACACACCAGAAGATGAATGTAAGTGTATATATATATTGAGTGGATTACTTTTGTTTTTTTATTTTTTCAGTTGGAGATCACTACTTAGACAGTTTTAAAGAACTACTTGATGGTTAGATGACAGTCTTAAGTTTCATGCTGAAACGAACTTTGATATCTTTAATCTTGTTGTAGCCTAATGCTTTCTGCACAATTTCAGCGCTTGTTGCTCATTAATTTAGTCAAATACGTGAACATCAAGTTATATAAGGATGTGACGGAAATCCTGTTGAATCTGGAATTTCCTCTTTGATTAACTATTTTTGTTACTCAAGGATCAATCAGTGGAAGTAACATTAATAGTAGTAAAGAGAAGTATACTAGTAGTCTATTGACCTCCGGTTAAAATCCAATCCAAACTGAAGCTTTATTCTAATTGAAATCATAGTTTTCCCTTAGAGGCAGTTACGTTTATCGATAAAATTACTTTCCTGAAAAGGCTAAATACTTTAAGAAATTAAATATTTGAAGACCAGGAAACATTGTACAGGCGTATTTCTAAAACACGGAACTCTTCATCAATTCGCATCCATAAAGGTACTTGGAGTTGATTTCCAGGACCTCTCAGGTGTTGTGTCAAAATTCGATTATCTCTGTAGGCCGTTTATGCTGATAATAACCATCTGGTCATTAGTGTGTGATTTAAAGGGGTAACTGTTGGAGTTCTGTTGAAAAACTATAACCAATGGAGTTTTGCTGTGTCGGATGTGGGCTAGTTATCCATCAATGTCATTAGAAGATGGACACGCAATATCATAATCTGATCGGATTTAGAAGTGTGAACTATTAGACCTCAACTCATTATTTTAAAGCTCATATGCTCATCACAATTCCTGAAGGAACTCTGGTTCGATCCCACCTAGTGAATCTATGGGTGTATAATGTTGAGAGGGGTCTAATAATAAGAAAAAGACTCTGTCCATTACTTCCTGGATTTCTTAATGGCTGTCTCACTGAAACCAGTCTGTGACGTAAAAGTAAAATTCGATAATCTCCACAAACATTCTGTACTGATTTCCGTATATTATCGACTATGATCCAAACAACCCTGTGGTAATGTCTGACACTATATGATGTGTTTAAATCCTAGAAGAAGTATTAGCACTGATGAGAGGGAATGTTAACTAACATAAAATCGAGATTCAGAACAATCTGGGAATCGCTTCCATTTTAGTGAATCAGTGATAGAGTTCAGTACCTTCAACTTCCAGTCATTACAGTTGAAGATTTGAATTTTATTTTACCCATTTCGGACTGACAATCGAGTGAGATCACTAATCCTTGCGTTTAGAATATGTCTTGATACCAAATATGTACCTGATGATAATTGACTTATTTACCTTATCATTGTCTAACATCATAGCCAGTTGTTTAGTATGACATCAAATGAATTAACCTAAGCATTATCACAAAAGTTATATAATGATCGAAGTTAATTTGTCTGTCTATCGATCATAATAACAATAATAATAATAATAATAATAATAATAATAATAATAATAATAATAATAATAATAATAATAATAGTGAAAATAATGTTAAAAAGAACCGACAAAATGAAAGGAAACAATTACATGTTTTATAAACTAGCTAGCTGGCTGTCTTTTTTTCCCCAATTTGCACTGTAGATGATGTAAGTTGCTTTTCTTTCTAAGTTACATGTCTTTAGATTGGGACATTTTAAAGAGTCATATATAACCGTTTCTTCTTCTTCTTCATATTTTTTACACACAATATGTTTATTGATTTATTTATCTTCATAATAAACAATATCCTTACAAAAAAATACCTATTCGCAATCCCATATATGATTATCACTATTTTTAGTGTTTCTTTAATAAAAATCAGCTAAAACGTTTTTGATATTAGTCTTAAGAGTTTGTTAAGTTCCATGGTTTACATCACGAATCGATCTTAGTTAGATAACCATTGAAAATAAGGAATTACTTGACATCTTTTTAATCACTGGTTCGGGAGTCCTATTGACAAACCGGGATCAGTGGAGTTCAATGGGATTGAAAGATAGGCGCAAAATGTCACGAAGTGTTTGAAGTCAGAAATATAGTTAGTAGTCTAACGGTAGTCTAAAGGTTTAACTCTCACCGCGAGACTTGAAGGTCCTTGATCCTATACCTAGTATGGTATTGGATGCTCACTGCCGAAGATTTCCATACTAGGACGAAATAGCTTCCCAGTTTTTTCGGTTATCTAACTTTGGTTAGTTCAGGATTTCAGCAACATTCTACATTTTATGTAATTAAAGTTTATGATCACCTGTCGTTTAGTATTGCTCATTATGTTAGACGATCATTTGACCTGTGAGATACATTATTCATTGACTGCTTCAATCATCAATTACACCTAATAATTTTATCATAAACACTCAATATTATTCTGAAGTTTCATTTCATTTCAGACATATTTTTTTAATGTAATGCCAAAAACATCTTTTCTGCAAATATGTTATCGTCTTAATAGATTTTTTTCAATACAGGACTGTTTCTCACTGTGATGTAGTTAAAAATAAACCGTTTCATATTCATCATTACGTTTAGTTGTAATTTCACTACAGATTGAATAGAAACCTTTGACCAGTCATTATTCATTAAAAACTATTAACTTAGAAATAAAAACATTTATTGATTTTATCTCTATAACTAGGAATCATTGGACAGTTGTTTCATTAGCTGTACGGATCCATGAATCTAACAAAGATCGATGCTAGAAATTTCGATCTTTTTTTATTTACGCTCAACAACTATCAGATATTTTGAAGCTTATGAACGAACGGAGAATAGTTGTAAACTATTCTTTGATCACACTTATTAATAATAGGCCCTGTGTTCGAATTTCGCGGGGGGTGGGATCGTGCATGCTCACGGCCGTCCAGTGCTTCCAGGTTTTCCATGGTTGTCTAGCTTCAATTGACTCATGATTTCAACTAGTGTGATTATTGATAGTTGTCTAGTTTAATCGCTGCTATTATTATTATTATTATTATTATTATTATTATTATTATTATTCTAAATCATACCAACTTCACAATGTAAATATTTATTTATATAAACACAAATGTTAGCAAAAGTGGACACCAAATATATATACTTCACACTTCATCATTCATTTTGTGTGAGGGCTGGGATACTGCTTGGGCTTCCAAACCTAAATAGATGGTTTTCCCTGGGTGCCACTACTCAAATATTTCTTTACGTTTGTTCGTTTCTTTTTTTGGGGGGATGAAAAGTTATTTTTTTCTCATTTTCAATTCTTCACTACAGCACAAATCACAGCGCGTAAAGATGTTATCAGGAATAAAATTCGAGCAATTGGTAAAATGGCTCGTGTATTCACTGTGTTAAGGTTAGTTTCCCTAGTCATATATGTGTAACAAATTTCCAATAATATTTACATGTTTTCATAAAAACTAAACTGAATATACATTAGTCGATAATCAAATACAATTTAGGGGAATAGAATAGTAATGTTGTGTACAATTTGTTAAGATCTTTTCTCTGTTTTTTTCCGTAGTGTTTGTATTTGTTTCTGTGTTTTCCTTCTTTTTTTGTTTGTATTTAAGATTAGATGTCAGTCAATTTGTTATTTGATTAGATTGATATCTTGTTTGGTAAATAACTTTAATTCAATGTGACTTATTTCATTAGTTCTTTGACATTTCATCAGTCATCAAAATTTTTCCTTCAATATATATAATTGGATGTTTGGTGGTGGTGGACGTTAGTTTTTCAGGAAGTTCTGTTTGACTTACGTTTCGTATTATTAGTTAGAACTTCTCACTAGGGTATACTTGGAATCTGACATGAACTGATACTCCTTATGCAATTAGAACGTGCGTGGTCTAGCATTGAGACAGCCCTGTTAAACTGCTTGGGCTGTTGTAGTGGACACAACTCACAAGATTGCCTGTAAGTAGTATGTTGCAGAACGTGACCTCGAAGTTGTCGGATGGAGTGAATGGTTTTAGTACAGTGAAAACACGGCATTGGCAGGACACTTGAAGGTCAGATGAGAAAACTGCAGATACCAGACCAAATTAAAGGATACACATGGATTATTGAAAGCTATGTATATGTATTATGTAAATACCTTATCACTTCTCACAATACATATAAATTCTTTGAGCTTATTGTCTTCATGTACACTGTGACTGGCCACCTCCTGTAAGACTATTGCAATTACGCTTGCTAGTGGGTACATTACAATTTGGTCGATTAAATTTGATCAACAATAAGCACTTTATAAGGATGATAATATTCGTTACTACCTGGTTATCAATTAGTGTAAATGTAGATGTAACTTTCGAATTGTCTTTTTCATAATTTAAATTACGAAATGACCTTATTTACACCACCAGTGAAAACCGGAAAAAACTGTACAGCTATTTCGTCATAGTATGAGAATCATCAGCAAATTTATTGAAGTTAAACATATACACCATGGGGTGCCGGTTTACTGGTTTCTAGGTTAAGTAATATCTTGTGAGACTGAAGATCCTGGTGTTGGTGCCTTTTGATGAAATCATAGATTTGAAATTCTGAGGATTTTAACACTAAAATGAAATAGCAACTGTCCAGTATTTCCTGGCTTCCAATATTGGTTTAACTAAGATCAATTCGTGACTATGAAAATTATGTAATCTACACATACTCCTCTATACTTAATTGTCTTTTTATTATATGTTGCATCAAAGATGCCGTTTTTATCATGTCGCAGTTGTATGTTCTCCATTTTTCTTTAGTTTACATTTTCACAAGGTTATTACTGACTGTTATTATTCTGTCCGTATATTCAACTGTGTGATAATCGTATACAAATGGATTGTATTACTTCATAGTCATTTATCTAAAACAAAATTGCATTATTCTTTTTACTAATATTGTTGTATTTTATTTTCAGAGAGGAGAGTGAAACTATACTTGAACTCAAAGGACTTACTCCAACTGGTATGCTTCCATTAGGAGCATTAGCCGGTGGTCGAGAAGCTATCAAAGGTAAATATAATTGTAATGTTGTTATTTATTGTTTTATTGGAATTATTATTATTATTATTATTTGGTGTTATCTACTACTTTACTGCAATTAGTCACTGTCTAAATCATTATGTTTTTCCAGCTCTCAGATATATATATATATATATATATATATTACCGTTTAGCATTTTACGTCCCTATTCAGTTTGTTGCGGTATTTGTTTCATTTATCTGTACACATGTACAAAGTGTAGCTTCAAGCCGTACGTACATTAACCTACTAGGTTGTTACAGGTAATTGACAGGACCCCTATTTGACTTAGGTTTGGTACTTGCCAAAAAGAAGAACTTGTGATCTGAAAGAATTGGTACTTCACGTGAGATTCGAATCTGTATTATTTGCACACTTGGTTAATGAATGAAATTAACGTAAAGCTAATAAATTAGTAGTTATTTAGCACTGGGTCATACTTTAATTCTCACTGTTGAATTCGTGAGTCGATCTAAGATAGATCATCATTGAAAACCTGGAAGGACTGGATGCCATTTTGTCTTATAACTCATCAGTGCTCATCCACGACGCTACATGCGGAATCGAACCCACGACCTTCAGTCTTCCAAAGTTAATGGAGGGTAACTGCCTCACATCTGACTGAATTGATCTCTATCTGTTATGACTTCGTTCTACAACTTCGGGAATTACACCTTCAAATAATCTTATATGTATTGTTTCATTCCCTTAGCAATTAAGCTTATATATATATATATCCGGATAGTAGTTAATAGATTTTTTTCGGGCTGTTTTATTGATCCAATTAGATTAAATCCCTAAACGAGGATTTTGTTCATTTGTTTATAATCTAGTTCAGTTTGTTCTATTTTGTGTCATTCTATTCCTCTGTTTCTAACATTTGTGTATAAGTGTTTGTGTGTTTGGATCGGGATTTATGTTTGAATTGTCGCTACCATTGTCTGAAAACCTGTAGAGAAGATGCCATACGGCGCTCGATGTTTACAGATAGTTAGTTAGTTAGTTAGGTAGGTAGATATAAACGTAACGCGGGGAAAGACAAACAATTATAACAATAACACCAGGAATAACAAAGATAATAACAACGACAAAACGCGAAACAATCGTGGCTTTTGATCTTTGTTATTTGTTTTACTTTAATATATGTTACTTGATGGGAAATTGATTAAAACTTGTTATATTCTGTTCCTGATCAACAATGTGTTAAACACTTTCATTGTTATTAAAAAGGACAGACGAATAAATAGACAAATAAATAAACAACAATCGATTAATAAGTGGGATAATTTAAATCACGTTTTATCATATTTGAATGGCATGTATTCAATCTCTGGTGGGATCATAGATACCTACTCTCGTGGAATCTCCTACTGGAACCTTGAGGGAGACCAACCTCTAGTGAATACAGCCCATAAAAATACATAACATTTTATGGAAGTAATGAGGAATGAAGAAGGGCAGAATTTTTAAGAAAATAGGAACAGATAGTGTTCAGAAGGAAAGGACAAAGTTAATCCTGTCTTTTTTACATTCACGTCTTTCTTTTTAAATAATTTAAGCATTAATGTCTAATTTTTTTTCACTATTGTACTTTGTATGTATTCTTCTCCTCCTTATTGATTTTTCCCAATCATGATGTATATCATTATTGATTGACCGTTAAGTAGTGACTAATGTCACATTTGTCTGGTTCTTTTGATTGCTGGTAAAATCCTATCGACCTAGTTGCAGCGTGATCACCTTCAGTCTAAGTGATTTGAAATCACGCGCACTATTTCTTGATATTAACCTATTGATTTATTTTGAACACGTAAGTAGTAGCACAAAAGAGAAACCAAATATATATGTGTCGCAAAATAGTCATCATCCTGGAGGCCATGTAGATCACTGAATTGTAATCAGGGTCTTCCAACTCCTCGAGGTAGATCTTCCGTACCCATCCTGCAAAATGGTGCATGGAGGACAAATGGCAGATGCATTTCAAGTGAGGACAGGAGTCAGACAAGGGTGCTCACTTTCCCTCTTTCCCTTTCTGCTGGTGGTTGACTGAATTATAAAGACCTCGATATCTGAGTGGGAAGCACGGAATACAATGAACAGCTTGTATAGAGCTAGACGATTTGGACTTCGTAAAAGATTTAGTCTTTCTATCCCATACACACGAACAAATGCAGGTGAAGCCAACTGCTGTGGTAGAAACCTCTGCATCATTAGACCTCGACATACACAAAGGATAAAGCATGATCCTGAAATACAACACAGAGAACACCAGCCCAATCACACTTGATAAGGAAGCTCTGGAAGAGGTGGAATCTTTCATCATCGATGAACGAGGAGGATCCGATGCAGAGGATATAAGTATTTCTAAACAATTTTGTATGGAAGATATTGAATATACATTGGCCGGATACCATTAGCAACAGCCTACTGTGAAAGAGAACAAACCAACTTCTGGCTGAAGAAGAAGTTAGGAAAAGACGTTAGAAGTGGAGAAGACACACATTGAGGCAATCACCAAACTGCACCACGAAGTAAGCCCTAGCTTGTAATCTTGAAGGGAAACGGAGAAGAGGAAGACCAAAGAACACACTGAGTCGGGAATTGGAAGCAGATATGAAAAAAATGAATACCAACTGAAAAGAACTGGGAAGGATAGAGCTAGATGGAGAATGTTAGTGGGCGGTTTATGCTCTTCCACTAGGGGTAACAGAAGTAATTAGGTAAGCAACCCTGTTAAAGCCCCCGTTGGACATTCGCTCAATTTTGTAAATAACACCCTTGCTACGAAAAGGCAATGAGTAAAGCTTCCACGACATTAGCTATATATGCGTGGCCATATAAAAGCATCTCCATAGGAAGAGCAGACCATCCCCACCCTTGACCGTACCAGGATATTTGGAGTCTGTGACATTAGTTGTTTTGAGGTAGTCGTTTTGAAACTTTATTTGACGTAAGTTTCGTGCTAGTCGAGGCTCATCAGTGTGGCTTACTTGCAAACGGTGTTAAAATTTGCCTTATTTATCACTTCAAAGTTAAATGAATTTCTTACGTGAAATTGCGAATATACTTACTGAATTATACGAATCATTTTGCCACAAGCTCTATCGATACTAATCATGATAATAACTACAGATTGAGATACGCTCACAGTTTCAAAAGCAGGATGTAAAGTCAAAACACTCAATCCTCACTGTATTACGAATACATTTTCATATGTGATCCCATAGTCAATAATTTTATGAAGAAATATCAAAGAAAGCCCATAAACACCTAAAATATGTATGAATAATCAGTACCTGTAAGAGTAAACTCGATAAATAAATATATTTCTGTTAGTTCCTATACTGATATTAAAAAGAAAGTAGAAACGATTACATTTTCAAGCATTAAAAAAAAATCTCTACATTGATGTACAGCTTCAATCATATTACTGATCTTTGTTCATTGTCAATAGTCCGAAATTCGTACAATCTTTTTTAAAGTTATATGAATTAGATTCATATTTTAATGTTTTTGTTTTGCACTTTACTTTTCAACCTACTTATTTTCATTTGGACAGAGTTATATAACTTATCTTGTAAATATTAATGATGATGATGATGATAATGAATGAAAAACCATTAATGTTTAATTCACTACTAAATTGTCTACGTAATTGTCATATAATAGAAATATATTTATTCATTACATATCCAAGATTAATACATTTGATATCTGAATAAATGAAAATTCTGTTGTTTTTCTCTCTCTCTATCTTTGTACATTCAATCATGAACTGTGTCGTTCTTCCATTCATGTTATTACTTTGATTACTTTTTGTTTTCTCATTCTTTTCTCATTTTCTTCTTCTGACAGTAAGAATTGTACTTCCAATCCTTAATACATGCTACTTATATCTGTCTGTATAAGTATCACACACAATACAATAAATATGGAGTGTACGTGTACATGAGTGTGTGTGGTCTTCTTTGAATATTTACTTATTTGTTTATTTATTTGCTGTTCTCTTTCCTATTCTTCTTCTTCTTCCTATTCCACACATATTATCCTTATGCTTTTTATTGATCTAATAATTAAATCATCAGAGAGTCAATTGTTTCTAAGTTCAAGTGCAGTGTATGTATGTATTGATGCATACATGTATGTATGTGTATCAATGTGTAAACATGTTATATACTAAGAAGTTATACATTATCAATGTAACCAATTTTTTGACATTATAATACATCCACTTCTATTTATTATCAATTATGATAGATTTGTCCTAGTGACCGAACTGTTGATTTTTTACTCCCTTCTCTTTCTTCTTTTCTGCTTTGCTTTATCTTTAATTATCTTAATGGCTGTTACATAAATGTCGTAATGTGCTAGAACATATATATCAGTGCGCATCCACGACCGCACTCATTGGGGATCGAGTCCAAAACCGTCAAGTTTTGCAGCTTCCACTTAACCTTCAGACCATTGAGGTGGTAGCTGGTGGCGTATATTTCTAACTTCAGTTAGTTCTAGATATTGCACATTTGGCATAGTTAAACTCCAATGGTCACACCTCAGTAATACTTCAAGAAATATTTCTTGAAGTTAGTTTTTAGTTAGCACATAATGATTCTTATTGTTTGCATAAAACATCTAATAGTTTTCAGATCGTCTTCGTTACCAACTGACATAAGTCGGTAAATCATTATAAGTTAAGAAAGACCAAACAATAGTTTCATCCTACGTCGATACCAATAAACAACTGTGTAGCATGAAAAGTGAACATGTTTCAGTCAGCTCGGTTATCGATCGACCGACCAACTGAGTGGTTTTTGAATTGCCTTCGCATGTAATCCTCTGATAATGTAATCTGTTTATAGTAAGTAAATTTCATAACTAAATTGTAGAATACAATCTACAAACGAAATGTACACTTTGTTTAACCGTGGCTGTGTCGTTCCGTCATGGGACTCCTCAGTAGTGCACATCCACGACCGATCGCGGGATTCGAACTCGGGGCCTTCAGTCTAGCGCGCGAACGCTTAAACACTAACGCCATTAGATGCCAGCTTAGTGGTCCAGTAGGTTAAGCGTTCGTGTGCGAGACTGAAGGCTTTGGGTTCGAGTCCCGCGAGCGGGATCATGGAAACGCACAGCTGAGAGGTCCCACAATAGGACGAAACGCCCGTCTAGTGCTTCCATGTTTCCAACGGTGGTCTGACATCAGTCGGTTCATGATCTCAATCGAAAATAAAATTGATCTATGAGTATTTACTAAATGAAGACCCCTTCCCGTCGGTTGGAGAGAAAAGAGTTTTTTTTTAAAAAATGCATTGTTTTGTACAAATTCTTTCTGAAATGTCAACAAATGATCAACTACAATTGAATTTTTTTTAATACAAGTGATGGGAAACACTTTGAAATCTTTATGTTAGTAAGTATTCTACAAATTAATAACAATATAAAAAATCACTTTATAGTTTAGATGACGTGCTGATTTCAGTTTGACTACCATTGAAAATCAAGAAGTATTGAAAGATAGATTTCATACTAATACAGGACTAATTTCAATCAATTCTTAATATTACTTTATTATTATTATCATCATCATCCATTTTCATTAATGCGAAAGTTCGTTATCTCACTAACTATATGCTTAAGTTCCATTAATCAAAACTTTTTTGGTAGACCTCCATGAATCACTTCTTGCAAATAGTCACTAGTAAATGATAAAATAATCAGCTCTATACTACAACTAAATGTCTCTGTACAATGTTCGTTTATTTAATCTAAATTAGTTCATAATGTGAAACTTCAAATTCAACATTCTTGACACACAACACAATAGATATTTTCTCTATGGAGAATAATTCACTACTTGCGCCATTTATTTCTAGTTTGTATTTATTTTACATAGAGTTTTACAGAATAAATGAATATTGTCAGATAGATAGAGAGATAGATAAAGTTGTTTAGGTTCGTTAACTAGTTAATTCTCGTTTGTTTGTTTGTTTCGGAAAGTAAACAGTTGAAACTTCTTTTTCCCTTCAAAGTACTGTCTGTCTACTTTTCTTTTTATTAAAAGAAATGGTTGTTGATCATCATGATTCTAGATTTTATTTGTTCCTAAGAATTTTTTTTTTAATATTAAGGTCAGATGAGATAGATAAATTGAATATGTAATGTAAACGTAATTATATACACAAATAGATGGAAATGAATGAAGATTAATCTAATCCCTTTATGTACTTTCTGTCTTTCTCTTTCTCTTTCTCTTTCTCTCTCTCTCATAGAACATATTGATCATATTATCATATTAATTTCATTTTCTGTCAATGTTTTAAGGAGAGAAATAGAGATTAGCTTAGTGGAAAATCATTTTCCCCTTGAAATGAATATATATATACATTATATACATGCTTTCACAAGCTTGTTAAATTGTTCCAATCTCACTGACCAGATAAACAGACTGACCTATTGATTGTGCAGTATTATTATTATTATTCATATTTAATCAAATATCAGGACACATGGTTCAATCGTATAATCAAATGTTTTAATTGAATCTATTGTAACACTGGGTGGAAATTTTTACTCTTTCCATTTCTATAAGATCAGTGATTGCAACATGTCACTATTAGTATATAAGCGTTAAAATTTATAGATTCCGATTAATGTATATAACTTGAAACTTCTGAAGAAAATGTTCTACTATTGGTAGAAATAACGTGAAATCAAAAGGTATCTTATGCAAATTAGAAGTTTTCTATAATATCTACCTATAATACCAATAATAATAATTTGAAATAGTATAGTAAAGATGCACAAAATTACTTTGGCCAATTAGTGGTCTCGGCATCTTTTAAGGAAATATCTAGAAAGTAACTCATTATGGTAATTTTTAATAGTTGAGATCATGAGTCAATTGAAGCTAGATCACCATGGAAAATCTGGAAGCACTAGACGACCGTTTCATACTTCCAGGTTTTCCATGGTGATCTAGCTTCAATTGACTCATGAAAAACAACTCATTATGCTTTACTGTAATGTGATTGGATAATTATCAGTCATTTTCAACGGATTACTGAATTTCGAGGCTATCTGTAGCCTTACAAATACCCCTTATTTTCTGTATATAAACCAACCTTGGGAGTAAAGTTTCATTCATATCTCTGCTTTCTATTCCCATTTGAGGTTCAAATGTGGTAGATTGTGAAAGTTTACGATTTAACTAGAAAGTCATTAACTTGACCGTTCAATTTATTAAACGCTTTAACTCTTGGGAACAATAAGTAAAAACATTCATAAAACTTTTTCATCCTATCTATTCGTACTTTTTTTTGTTGTTGCTTGGAACTGTTAATCATGAGTTATATGTGACTTCGATTATTGATTTAATTAACAGATTAGATTAATTACTTAGAGTTTAAGTCATGTGCATAACTGAAGTAAAATCGATATAACTGATTTGTGGACAGTGATTTTTTCTTTATTACCGGTAAATTGACTGAACTGGAAAATCAAAAAAATATTGGATTCATTATTTCAGTGAATCTTATGTACGTATTTCTGTAGTTTTCAACAGTTCACTAAGTTGGATATCAAATTAGTAATGAAATCTGTATTATTTCACTTGGAGTAATTTTCACAAAAACGGTCTATTCTAATTTAATTCATTGTTTTATTTTAATAATCTCTGTCCTCTTGTTACCTTATCAAAATCTATATAAGGGGCTCAATTGTTTTGGATAAAAAAAAAATTCGTTGCTTATCCGCTGGTGATTTTTTAAAAAGAAACCAAGTATTTACGCCATTGAATGTCACCTTAGTAGGCTCTATATTAGAACTCAGTGTTCTGGGTTCGATCTTCAATAGGTTAAATCGTGTATGCACACTGCTCAGATGTTACTATAAAGAAGGAGTTTATTGATGATATACATAATGACAGAGATGGGGCTACCCTGGAAGTTTTCTTAAACGGGTACACGTATATGAGGGAAAATGAGTTAGAGATCTTAAGCACTCATAAGAAACCCCCTATTCTTAAAACTAAAATTCAATGTGGATGTGGCTAGTAATGTCTCGCACGATAAATTAACAAAAGCAGTTTATTAGGACATCTTGAGAAGCTGATTTCGCATTGACATTTTATAGTAAACAAGTGAAATCTACTCAAAGAATAAACTACCTGAGTTTCGCTCTTCCATATGCATTTACATATCCCGCTGAAGAGAAGGCTATGTTGACCGTACTATCATGTAACTTATTTAACGAACGAGTGAGCACTTTTCATTTAGGTTTCTAAAGGGCTAGAAAAAGACAATACGTGGCTACTTCTTTAGAAACCTAGTTGACAGTCATCATATGGTAGATAAAGCCAAATCATTTCGAATGATCTATTGTGTACCGTCGTCATTTCCTAAAGGGGTTCGATTTTGTCTCCTAAAAATATTGCCTTACTTGGTTTAAACTTTCCTTATAAATATTCAATTATATAAAAGTAAATTCTGATTATGATCTTATTGATAAACATTATTGTTCACTTATATGTATTGTTCTAATTTTCACAATCGTGATCCTTAACATCTATATATTCTTTTTGCATCATAGCTGTTTCTGGAACATGGACACCACATAAAATTCAATGTTTTGAAGAAGCAAAAGCATTTGACAAAGTCAATGAACGAATGCCACCACATTTAGATATGAATTCTAAACGATGTTGGCCATATTCTTCCACAACATCAATGAATACAAATGATGAACAAGAAATTAAATTGTCTGATTCACATATTATCATTAGCCGTGACCCAATTGTAGACGATGATAATGATTCTCTACTTACAGTTGGCTCACAAAAATCAATGCCAAGACCACCATCGATTTGCGAAGAACACTCATCTGATGACGATAATGTTGGTGATGATGATACTGAAGTCAAAAATGATAGAAGAAAGTTCAGACAACAAATCGATACTGTTAACGATCTCAAATCAACAAAATTAACTAATCAACTTGATACAATCAACACATCAAATGATCCCAAGCAGTCGACTAGTTCTGCTGATCCAACAAAATCAAATAAAAATGATTTAAGCAATACTACTAAAACTCCTAGTACTACTACTATTGGTGGTAGTAGTAGTAGCAGTAGTTCAACATTACAAAGCAGAACAATTATAAGGACAATAACACCTAATAAATCGAAAAATGACAACCTATAATCATCAGTGCTTCCGTAGGAACATTCAATCTATCCATGTCTGTTATGACTTGATCTGAAAATTCGTATTTTACAACTAACTAACTAAGCGAATAATCAAATAGATATATAATCTATAAATATGCATATATTTAGATATTATGCAATTCATTTCATTTATTTTTCTTCATGGTTGGTTGTGTTGTTGTCTTTTTCCCTTTGGTCAGTTGTTGTTACTGTTGTTTGTCCGTTTAATAATCATAGTGACTTTTCTCTTTGTTTCTTTCCTCATTTGTGTTGATCTCTCTCTCCTTCTCGATTACTTTGTGTACATTTCCTCTACGTGTATCTTTTGGGATGGGGGTTTTAAATTTCAACATAAAATCATCAATATGATAGTATTACATGTTTGCCACCGCTTCTCTTCACTCCTAGCTGAAAGATATTTGAAAATGGACATTCACCTGGAAACAGAGTGACATTATAGTCATAGTATGTGGATGATTGATTAACCGAATACACTGTAAATATATGCTACATTCTTGGTAATAATAATAGTAATGTGTGCACTTATATCAAAAGAAATTTATACTTATATATGAGGACCAAAAAACTTCAATTTATGTTCTGATAAACAGTGAAATTATACACAGAACATACCAAGACGCGGTCAAATAAACCTTTTTAGATTTTGCTCTCTATTTCTTACAAGCTTCGTTTCTTTTTCTATTGATCTACCTTTCTCCGATCTTATAGTTGGTTATTCTCTCTTTCTTTCTCGCGCACACGCGGTATTCGACCTGTCAACTGTTATTTTCAAGGTAGATAACTATTTGAATAATCAGCAAATTTATAATCTATGAGAATAATAATGAAGTGCTCATCTATTGTCTCTTTGTTTGCCTGTTGTGTCCACTTTCCTCTGCCCCATGTGTGCGTATGTGTGCGCCTGGGTATGTGTCTTGTTCGCCGTCAAATTTGGCGTGGAACTTCCGTTTTTTTTTGTAATTAATGCGTTTTCTTCCATTTTTAACATGATTCTTGTCGCTTGCTTTTTTTTCTCCTAAATTTCTAAACAAACTTAGATTTTTTGTTTGGTCTTGTTTATTATTTCTACACATGCACATTTGATAATAATAATAATAATATCCATCTTACAAAATCATTGTCTACATGAATGTAAAACGTGAACTGCACAGTAACTAAGCAAAAAAAATACCCAAACTAAACAAATAATGTAAAAGAAGTACACATGATTCATTTATTTTTCATGTTTAAAATGTATTTTTTAATTTTACAAAATTGGTAATTGGGCGGGGGGTGGAGGGTAAAAGTTGCTATTGAATTATGATTATTATTTTCTTAAAATTTGGGATATACAGGAATATTGTGTTTACTATTGTTTTAATTGTTGTTGGCGATCAGTATTCTGTTCAATTTTATTTTTATGTCTATCATTGATTGGCTTACTTTTGTTTTGATAACATATTGATGATAATGATGATTATCCGTATCCTCAATTCGATCAGTATTAATTAAAATGCATATGGTAACAGTTTCCAAGTGTTCCTGTTTAGTCACCTTTCATTTCTGATTTGTATATGAATGTATGTTTTCCTTAATCTTTTTGTTCGATTACTTTTTCAAGCTACTTAATTAGATAGACTAAAATCGGAGTTATGAATCGTCCATTTCTTTATGTATTCACTTTAATTCTCAATCTTCTTTTTTTGAAATGTTTTCTTATGTTATGTTACTATGTTCATTGTTTATGTTTTAAATTACTGACACTCAAGTTGTCAATGGATTTTTAACATATTTCCATGTACGTCCAGGTTGGCAAAGTATCTTCTATTTTTCTTGATGTGTACAGTGTCATTTATACTGTTTAAATGAAAATTCACATGACTCACTTGTCTTTTTGTATGTATGTGTATATGCTAATGTGAACGTATATAGATTTTCTTTTGCTTTTCCCGTTAACCACAATCATGGTTTGTTTTCTTCATTATTATGCTCTTAGTGTCCAACTCTCATCATGACCTATTGTCTTCAGTTTTTGCATACTTGTTGTCACTGCTATATACTACCGGTTAATGAGGTTGGTGATGTTTTTTTCCTCTCGATCTCTCTCTTTCTTTCTGTGTATCTTTGTGAGTATCGTCAAATGTGTAGGATAACATTGTGATTCGAATTAGAATTATCTTTTATTTTCTTTGTTACACAATGTAATGTAAGCATAATGATGATAACAATAACTATGAATGTATGACTCAATAAATTCTCCAGTTTTTTTCATGCTATTTATTCATATTAATTGATACTGATACTAATAATTGCTCTATTTTACTCATTTACATCTTTAACTTATCTCCCATTTCCTCAATACTATCTGTTTATTTTCTGGTCAATTGTTTTACAAGGGACATATTGATAACATAAACTAAACAAAGAACTAACATACACATACAGAAAGAAAGATCAAAATGAAATTCGATATGATAACAGAATGAAACTGGCAATAAGTTTATACATATATAAAGTAATGAAGAACGATGCATTATGATTAACCCTTTTTTCTAGTATACAACTACTTGTTGCTACATATATGTGTAATTGAACTTGTATATGATCAGATTAACTTTTGTCTCGTTTTTATTGTTTACAGTCCTTGATTTGTTCGATTCTCTTTTTTTTACTCTGTCGAATTTGACTAATATCTACACATCAGTACTAGTTACATCCTACATCTGCCATCCCTAATCATCTCCAATATTGTTAATATCAACTAAATATTTCCTCTCCTGTGACCGTGTAGTTCTTTTTTTAAAATTCTACTACTTTATATTCAATAGAAGGGAACTGGTTACACAATCGTCCCTTGTAAGTAAGTGTACGTGTGTGTGTGTGCGTGTGTTTGTATCGGGTTTTGATATTTCACTTTTGTCGAGATTAGTCAATAAAGTTTCTTAATAAAATACTTCATAAATATATTTTACTATATTGTCTTTTTTTTCCCTTCAACATGTACCGCATCTGATCGTAGCTTCCAATTCGTTTAGTGACACATCATTTTTCTACTTTGTTCCATTTTGTGTTTTCTGTATTATCTTTCGATTATACTAAAACTACAATTACTGCTGTTCTCTTGCTGATAAATCAAAATGACAAATGAGTACTTTTTTTTTAAAGAAATTTTGTGCTCATCTGTTTACTCTGTTTTTAGTAAATGAAACATCTATCAACTGGTAATATGATTGGTGTTTTTTTTTCTTTTGTCTACTTTTCATATACACAGAGATGATGATTTACCTAACTGTTTTGCTTACTCACATATGGTCTTTTTCCCTCTATTCCAGAAATCATTTTAAAAAAAAAATATTATTACAATTACCGTTTGGATTTACCAGGTGTTTTTCTTTGTCTTCACAACCACCTCCTTGTTGTTGTTCGCCTTGAATTTGTTTTACGTTTTCCTTTTGAATTACAGTTCACCTTCGGTTGAATTTTAATAATAAAAATGAAATATTACTAGTTGTTTTCCAAACATTACTCACTTGCATACATATACTCATGTATGTAGATGTAGATGTATGTATGTGTGTGTGTGTGTGTGGGTGCATGTATGGATACTTACCTCAACAAATAAATAAATGAATTTTTGGATTTATAGACAAATTGAGTTATTTTCTATTTCTTTGACCGGCTAACTAATTCTATGGTGTATTGTAGTGTTCATACCGAAAAGATTATTTCCATTTTTATCATTAATAGTTTTAGGACTCAAAAAAAAGTGATCATTTAAGATCTTGTGTTAGTTTGATTACAAATAGTAATTAATGAGTGCTGTTATTAGGCAGTAAACTATTAGAAGTCACCAGTAATTGGTGCAAAGCTATTTTATCCTAGTTCAATACGCTTAAACAATGTATGCACATATATATCCAAAGTGTATAGAATTCAAGTCTAACGTTTAGAACTATACTTTTCAACCATTGAATCATAATCTAACTTTCAACATTTCTAAACATTGGATGATAATTCTTAGATAATTGATTCACTGAAAGCGCTTTCACGTTTTACAACGTTGTAAACATTATGTACAAAAATCTCGACATATTCTTATATGAAATACTAGATGCCGAATTCCTTATCATATATATTAGTTTTTGTACATAAACTAGGAATTAGATGTTAGATGAAGTTGATTTGAATCGCACAGATAGTAATGCTCTTTCCAATACGATCAAAGATAATATTTACTGAAAAAATTCCGGCCGGCATAAATCACAGATTCAAGGTTTCCTGACGAACATCTCCAATCACCTAATATGTCTACATAGCTGATACAGTATTGAGCTGTTAAGATTCACTAATTCCTATCCGTTACTATGAGATATCTCAACATAAATTTAATATACAGTGGTTCTGTTTTCTTTTATTTTTGAAGTTTTATCATAATCTAAGTGTGGTTGGATTGTTTCGGCGCGATAACAAGTTGACATATGCCCTGCTACCCTATTTGTCACAGTTTTAGTATCATAGATGTGAAAATGTTTTTTACTTAAGATATTAAACAGAAAGTCCTCGTTTGTCAATAGCTATATATATAGATCTCTTAATGAGTATTAACACACTGAAACTCAAACACATCTGGCTGATGGGTCTCAAATGAGACCGAGGCATTTATAAGCTCAGAGAATTCCAATATATTACATGCCCGTGTTCATATGCCATCTCATGGTCAGACAGTAGGTGGTAGATGATAAACAAGACCCAGTTATGTACTCAGTTAAAGTCTCAGTCTATATTTCCTTGCCTAGGTAATACACAACTCAAATCTAGGCTTGTCAGACAGTCGAACACCAACTAACACTACGTATCTATACTTCCATTGATAACAACAACTCCGATAAGATTGACTAACTGACTAGATTATAATTTAACGAAACAGAAAACACAAGTAATTAAACACAAACAAATTAGTCTGAGAAAAAGTTCATTTATTTAAAAGCTAAAAAGAAAAATCAGATAAATAATAAAGAACAACTAGTCTCCTAACTAAACATACATTGTTATAATTCATGAAGTAATTGGTAATGGAATTCATTAAACTAATCAAACTATGTAACAATGTTAGTTTTAAGATGAAAGACAATGAAAAAATGTAGTTCCATACAGATGTAGCGGTTAGTTTAGACTGAAAATTTTCACTTGAATAGTTTCAATAATCAAAAAATAGTAATGTTATGGTTGTATTAACAAAATCATTTATTTTAACACAGATATTGGTACAAGGAGGCACCAAATACATATGCGCCACACAAATCTCATCTGATATGTGTGAGGGCTGTGATATTGCCTTGGTGCCCAAACCGAACCAGGTGGTTTTCTTAGGGGGCCACTCCCCGAGCCTTCGACCTGAAGGTCTGATCCACAAGGTAGTGGAGCATCGCAAGGAGATGCAGTTCCTTGGTAGCCGGTGACCAACAATAGGTTCATACGCCGTTTGTCCCCGCAGGATACTGGAGCCCATGTACACCATTGGTTTGGAATCCGGTTAAAGCTCCGGACATTCGCTTTTCGTCCTCTCATTTTCGTAACAAAATCAATATTAGTTGCTAATTTACTATTTATTTAAATACTTTATAAACATCGATTTCGGTACAATTAAGTCTCAGAATAAGTATGCATTATGCAGATAAGGAAATCTGATGGTGAGGAAATAAGGTAAGGAGAAAGGGTGCAAGGGCAGTTTTCGCAAGTTTGATGAAGTACTGTTTTCACCACTTCGTTGTGCATCCGATCTCTAACAGTCAGAATAGTAGCAGAATGGTGCCAGGAATGATACAGCTTTGTATATGTTGATTTATTTATCACTTAATAATTTGATGTCATCTGTCAAGTCTCCATCAGGACTCATACAGTTAAAGTTGAGCTTTGACAGATAATTCGCTTTCATATTTATGAATTAAGCGTTTTGAAATGCATATAAGGGACTCATTTAGTGGTTTTATTTCCTATTAACAATGCTCTTATAGGATAGGGAATGGTTGAGAAATAATCGGTTTATATTATGGTGTATATAATAAAAGTATGATATAGAGACCAGCTTGAGTGATTCCTGAGATGTCTAAGTGATTTTAAA